ATATATATACATACATACATACATTATCTACGTCGTTAATAAATAGTATGTACCCAGTAGCGCCTGCAATTCTGCCTTCTTTTTCTCATCCAATGTGCCAAAGCGAATGCGTCCACAACAAAAGAAGTAAGACTCTCAGATGCTGTTCTGAAGATCTAGACCTACATCTAGGCTAGCCTAGCATGCCAGCATGTCCCAACCATGACCTACTAGCTACTGTCAACTAGATGAAGTAAGCTAAAAATATCACTCCACAATTCCGACCGCGAAAAAAACGGATGAGAACGAAGCCAGTCCGAGCGTGGTCTCGTATCGACTTTGAACCGTTCTCGGATGGGAAATCTCGTCCCAGAAACGTTCAGATCCACTCGGTGGGCGCCGTAAGTCTACGTGTCCACTGAGACGGACACGGCCGGATCTTTTGTCAGGAGGAAGAAAATCGGTTGGGTCGTTTCCGTCTTGTGTGTCCACCAGTTCGGACAAGATACGTCTAGTCTTATTCCACACACTGTGTCCCAAGGCTGTGTCCTCGGTATAGGGCTATAAATAGTCGAGGTCAACGAACCCAAGGCGGGAATAAGAAATGAAAGGGTTTTTAAAGGAAAATTGGTAAAATTGTTAATATGCATTTAAACCAGGTGGTTTGCGCTTAAACTTTGTTAATTGTGAGGTGGTGATTACGAATATGACATTAGAATTTTAATCTAAACCCTAAATTAGCTTAGATTTTTAAAAAGCTCCAGTGGGGCCTATGGCTCATGAGTCACGACCTGGCCCGGCTAAAACTGAGCGAGGGGCTTTCCAACCGACCCGTCTTTTGTCGGGACGTGTCGTTTTGTGTCTGTTGACACAGCCAAACGGACTTTTCATCGATTTCTTAGGAATAAACGGTGCTCTATTTCAACTACCGACTTTCCGAGAGACGGACGGAATCGGGTCGTTTGGTGTCCGTCGCAGTGGACACAGGCCCTTAGACAGGTTGGCGCCTTATACAGCGTTATTATGATGTAAAAAAACAAACAAACAAAACCAACAACAAAACCCCCACCAAAATAATAAAAACAAAACAAAAAATAAACCGCTAGGGAGTGAAATGGGAAGTGACCATTTATACAGGTGATTGTCTGACACAGGTGGCCGTTAGAGCAGGTGATTGCCCATGTACAACCAAACGCACGCAATTCGAATCACGAACTACTTTAAGAATCGCATCCCAGAACTGAAAGAACACAAATCTACATTACATAACAGAAACTTTGTTCACGAAATCTGATTTCTTTTCAAATGTATCGTAGACGTTTTTACGACACATCGACACAATTTAGGTCATTTAGGAGGCGGGATTGGGCTCAGCCTGTCAGAAACAACACGGACTGAGAGTTCAGTTTTAGTAGAGGTTTTACGGCGCTCGCAACTGCATAAGGTCATGTGAGCGCCAGGAGATTAGAGGTGTTACAAGAGAGTAACAAACACAAAAAAGAAGAAGGGGGGATAAGGACGATAGATGTTTGATAGAAAAAAAGAAGCAAACCACATCAGAGCATCCGCCAACCACCCACTGACTGAGAGGGAAACAACATCCCAGCAGCGACATCTGAATCAACAGGACACGATGATGGGAGAACATGAACGTGCTTCATACAGTGGGGGG